AAAAGAAAAAGACAAAGAAGCGGCCGAACTAGCAATCCTCAACAACTTTTTAATTTTTACACCAGGAGCTAAAGGTCTGTTTCAGGAACTCACATCCCCCAGCAATCAGCAGCTAGTAAGTGTCAAATTGAACTTGCATTTTAAAATTAGCTTCCGCTAGTTTTTCTATGGCGTAAGCGCTTTTGAAGTCGCAGACCTAAATATTTTCATATGTGCTTTAGAAATTGCGGAGCTAATTTTTAGATTAGCGCTGCCCACCACTGCTTATTTGTTTCTGGTCGCCGCATAATCAGTAACATTATCTGTAAAATAACAAACTGATGGTCGGTCAATTCTTAATTCTCATATTGCTAGTTTTCAAATGGTCATTTTACAACATCGTAGACTTTTTGTTATGGATTTTAGTTTTGGTGTGCCACTCCTGGTTTTTCAATGCCCCCCACACCCCACATAGCCACCCTGAAAATAAATTCTGCAGGCGCCACGGAGTCAGAGTTTTCTACAAAATTAAAGAAAACAATAATCTGAGTGATGATAAACATTACAGAACAGAGGTCAAAAATAAATGATCTAAGGACAGAGCCTGACAGATCGACACAGATCCAGTCACAGTCCCTGTTCAACAACACTCTGGATAACCTGGATTTAGTTTTAACACCACTGTCATGAAAGGCAGGCAATATAACTGTCTTTGTGTTTGGTTAGTTTGTGGTGTTTGAGTTTGAAGTTGTGTAAATGACTGGGATGAAGCTAGGGCTGCAACAACAAATCGATAAAAATCGATTATTAAAATAATCATTAGTTGCAGCCCTAGATGAAGCAAAATTTGCCAGCTATTGGAAAAGATGAGAAAACCAGAACAAACAGCAACATAAAACACTGACAATTCTCAACCAATCACATAGGTTCATTTCCTTCTGGATATCAGAAAACTACAACGTCCTCAGTCAGCACAGCTGGTTTAATGAGTGAAATGTCAACCCTGGACTCCTGGTTTGTCTAAACAACAGCCAAGGAAAAGACAAACAAAACAAGTAATTACTTAAAATATATCCCAAACACAACAGTCTAAACACAACTCACTGTGTCGTTGGTTGGCGAGGACAGGATACCAAACAGGCTGGAGACACGGCGTCCGATGCCAAACAACATCCCCTGACCCTGCTGCAGAGCTCGATACTGCAGCTTTCCCGCAGAATCTGCACTTATTCTCAACAGCTGGTTACTGACTGACGACAGGACGAAGCTTCTGCCCTGAAAGAAAAGAGTTAGAAATTTGTGGCTTTTCTAATTAATCAAGTTGGACGTTAACCGTGTTTCCATCAAGGCTTTTTGATGCGCATTTAGAAGTGTCGCATTGAAAATGCGAAAAAAAAAAGTTGGATGGAAACAGCAAAATTCAAAAAAAAAATCCTCAATTCGCTAAAAAGTTTTTAATGCTCGCTTGAGGTGGTTTTTGGATGATTCGCAAAGTAGTTAATGAGCAAAACGGGAGATGGAAACAAGTTTGCTGAATAAATTCTGACGTAGCGCATATTTACCTCACGTGACGTTCAGCTGTTTCCGCTTTCCTGCCTCGTCCCGGATGTTATCATAAACGCGCGAAAACATGGCTGTGACATTGCGTTTATTTTCCTACGTCTCCTGGCAGCGTTAAACATAGGCTGTAGCTGAATAGATATAATAATTACGACTTGCCCAATAGCAAGGCATTCACAAAAAAAATCGCTCCATTGTCCCGAGATGATTAGCCTCTGCTAGTTAGCAAGTTTCACTTCC